CTATAAGAATATGCAAATCAACTGTAGGGGGTGGTCCAATTTAAAAAAGTCAATGTGACCTTGACCTGACCTTGACGACGCATCCAAGGTCAACTGATAGAATCAGTATATAGATCTTCTTAAACCCTACAACTTTTGGTTGGAACACTTTTCGTAAACGTAATATTTTCGAGATATTTAGGGGTTTCGCACACTTTGGTAGCCCTGTATATATATATATATACAGAGTGTTTCAAAGACCACTAAGTACCCCCATTTAAAAAAAACTATGAGAAGTGTTATTTAAAAAAAGTAAAAAATTTCTAATAAATGAGTGCGCTCTATCATAAGTGAATATTTAACTTCTTGGTTCCGGCCGGAAATAGGCGATTTCAGACCGAAAGTGCTTTTTTTAAAAAATGGAACCCTCTCTTTTTCATTGCATATTCTTGTCCTTGCCTTACATCCAGAGCTTTCCAAAGCCTTACATCCAGAGCTTTCCAAAAAACTAAAATAAAATTAATTTTTCCATGAAGTGCTTTTAGAATATGGACTATTAAAATCATTTTTCTTAATTTTACATAAAACCATAAAATATCTTGTAAATATTCATTTTTGATTATCCTACCTTAATACTTTTATGTACAAATAATGGCGAATCACTTGGTGTAGAAGAAAACATACAGTTGTTTTAAGAAAAAATATAGATTCGTTAATTCAAATTGTTTTTTCAATTTCAAGAAAGTTGAAAATATCACCAATTCGATAGACCGCACCCGATGATTATAAAGAAATGTTTACTTTTTTTTAAATAATGCACTTCTCATAGTTTTCAAATGGGTGATACGGGTGGTCCCCTGAACATCTGTATATATGTTAGGGCTCAAGAGACCGAAAACGCTACTGAAACGAAAAAACCGATCACAAACACGTTTCTGACTTCCTCAGATTCAGCCACATACGCGAATTTGCGTCGAGGCACTTTCCCAAAACGCTCATAACGCGTTTATAGGGCATATTCAAAAAGGCAACAAAGCGAAATTCCGTGTTGAGGTTCCTTTTGATAATCGACCAAAAACGCGTTCTGCGCAATGTAAAAATGCCACCAACGCGTTGTGGAGCTTAATTGATGCAAGCCATGACGCGATGTAAATACCAATCCTCAACGGCCGACAGATTCATGGCACATTCTTGTTCGTTTTTTAATTTAGCGTATTGCTAGAGTGTGGAACGTTGTTGGTTTTTGCGTGCTAATTATGTGGTAGGAAATATTACTTCAAAAAGTAAAAAGAAGCTCAGTTACTTCGAAAAAATAAGCAATCGGTATCATCAAAAAGCAGTAATCGTCGTATAAAGCGACAATCTTAAAACTTGGTGGAATACTGAAAAACTGATTGAAAGTGGTTCTGAAGGTATGGACGATTCTAAAATTCGCTATTTCTGTAAGGCAAGATGAGCTATTTTGATGTATTGGAGGCAGCACATTCACGTGGGACATAAAAGGAAAAAGGGTAGTTGTATTTAAATCTTTGAAATTTGACCCGGTTTAATTGATATAAGCAATAATGCATAAAAAATAAAATTAAAATAAAAGAAAAAAAATTATAAAGAAAATAACAGTTAGCCTTATTAATCCTATAGCTTCTTACACTAAAATTTAAAACAATTAAGTTTCTGTGGATAGAAGTTTTCATTCATCAGTAATTTTTTTATTAATAATAATATAAAAAAACTGTTTTAGAGTTTGCTCTCTTTGTGAGAATTCATTTTATTAAAAACATTTGCCATCAATTGACAAAATCATTTAACAAATAAATTTATTTTGTTTTGACTAAAAATTCTACGATACTTTTTTTCAGTACGTAAGTATAAGGGATTCATAAAATAAAATAATTGACGTTCATTTTGTTATGAAAACAATTGACGTTAATTCAATTAAATAAAACAAATTGTCTTTTTGACTGTAAAGGAAAATACAGTTATCTTTATTAATACTATGGCTCTTTTAATCAAAGAAGATTTTGTTAATGAAATCTTCATTAATTAAGTATTAATCTAATAATAAAATTGTTCATAAATAAATATTGGTCCCCTTTTGTGGGAAATTATTAATAAATTATTATTTTTGCAAGAAACTATTACTGACATTTGGATTGCACTTATATTCTAGAGAGACAATTTGCATTTTTTGTCAATGCAGTATCTTTACAGTGGCAGCTTTAAATAAAACCTTGCTTATCTTCCAGATGACAACATAGAAGCTGAACGAAGAGTTAGTGAAGTACGTTTCTTGCAGTTCATAATTTGGTTCTCAGCAACTATAAATTCATTGGGAAACATAAAATCGCTCCAAAGGAGCCTTCTTTGGTACCCCTAATTGATAAAAGCCTTGATGAATTAATTCCGGCAACAACGCTAAGATATTTTGGGAGCTTGCGCGTCCCTTTATGCAAAACGTCAGGCCTTGACCGCTCCACTTAGTTCGAATATCAACTTTAGGAAAAATTTTGATTAGAAAATGAAATTCATTTTTTGTTGCTTGTTGTTTTTGACCAGATTTAGCACATTCTCCCTCAACGCCTGATACTGTTCCTTCCTTATACAGAGCTTGCAAGTAACGTTCTTGTCCGAAACCCTCATTTAATTCTCATCACTTTCTCCGCAAATAACAGTAATATATTGGATACATCTAACACTTGTAAGCTCTGAAGTTTTTCGTTTTCACAAATCACACAATAAAAATTTTGCTGTCATCTTTTTTTTTTTTGATTGTTGTGTAACCTCTCCAGCTTGAGGTATAATTTTTTATCTTCACTAGATTGTTCGTTAACTTCTTCTTCATCAGTACTATCTTGATCATTGTTCTTTAACCGAAGAAAGAAGTTGTTCCAATTCTCCTCAGTTTTATAGAAGGAATACATGTCACTGGAAAGAGAGGAATCCGCAAAGTCCGATCTTTTCGCTGATCCAAACAGCTCATAAGGACCTCATAAAGGACTCATAAGGACTTGTCTTAATTACCGAACTGGAGAGCTCGATTCTTTCTTTATTTGAATAAATCGGAGTCTTCAGACATTTTTTTCCATATTATTGTCAGCCATCCACGCTTACACAATGTCACGAATATCTTGGTTCGCCTTTCAAACCGAACCCGACTCTGAAAATGTCGCGATTTACCATTACAAGCTTCATTCCAGGCCACATATCGGCCAAACTTTTTAATTATTTATTTATGAAATTCACGACCATTGTCGCGTTTGAAGTATAAATGGGCACCGAAATAAACAAAATATGTCTATGATTGGTAGGCCACTCCTCGGCAGTCTTCGTCTTAAGAGGAACGAAGAATTGTGATTTGGTTAAATGATCTTGATAATTCTAATGAAATCGATAATCTTTATCTGACTCTGACTGCAGTCAATCAAGTCCACTTGACATCGAGAAGTTCATGTAGTCAGATAAAATAAGTTGTAACAAACTAAATCTGTTTGGATATCTTTTTCCTTCAATTGACAACTGTTCCCACAAAAAGACAGAAAAAATATTTATTATTTGACGAGTAACAATATTTCTTTTTTAGTTCAGCTTCCATAAACTGAAACCATAAATAAAACATAATGTAGAAAAATATTAGACAAACACAAATTATTAAATTATTTATTGACTTATGAAAAAAACTTACTAACCTACTTGTACTACAATACCTAACATGTTCTAACTATACTTCGGCGATATCAATCTTGTGCCGAAAACATCTTGGAATTTCCGTAATATAAACGTAAATATGTATCAATTCTAGTCAAATTTCAAAAATGTAACCTACCCTCTTTTCTTTTATGTCCACGTTGAGATGTGCTGCTCCAATACATCAAAAGCTTATCCGCCTTACAAAATAGCGAATTTTAGAATCGTCCATGCCTTCAGAACCACTTTCAATCAGTTTTTTCAGTATCATCGCAAGTTTTAAGATGTTCGTATCGCTTTATACGACGATACTGCTTTGACGATGAGCGATTGCTATTTTTTCCGAAGTAACTGAGCTTCTTTTACTTCTTGAAGTAGATATTTCGTACCGCTCGTTATCGATAAAAACATCCCGTATCGTACTTGTTTTCTTCAAAACTTCCCAAAAAAAAAAACCTCCCTCAAATTTTTTTATCCATAAAAAAAAATCCCCTTTTTTCTTTCTTATCAGACATGATAGCAACGCAAACCAACGATGTCCACACTCTAGCAATATAAATAAATAAAATGACGAAACAAGAATTACGTGAATCCGTCCGGCCGTTAATAGATTTTTCATTTTGTCTTAATATCGCGTCATGGCTGCATCAAGTAGCGTCCACAAACGCGTTGTGGCATTTTTACATTGCCCAAGAACGCATTTTGGTCGATTATCAAAAGAACCTCAACACGAACTTTCGCTTTGTGCTTTTTGAAATAATGCCAAAATGTTCGTTATGAGCGTTTTTAAAAGTGCCCGACACAAAATTTCGCGTATGTGGGTGAATCCTGACGATGTTCTGACCGGTTTTTCCGCCCAAATGAGCGTTTTTCGATCTTTGAGCCTAACATATATACTAGGACTGTGGAATTAATTTGACTTATATTAGAATCACGTAACTTATGTTATATGCGCATCGGATACTTCTGTAACTATATTCCATGTCAAAGGCTCTGTCATTAGGCTTTACTTTTTTTATTATGTATTTTGCTGAAGTGTAAACAACATATTTTTTCTGCTCGAGATGTCGAATTAGAGCCCACAAAACACCATTCGCAAGAAGTTTTATTTTCCTGTTTAATTCAAAGAAAAGTACTGCTGAAAGTCAATCGAGTGCTGTTGGAAACTTACGGTGAACATAATCCCCATTCGATAAAAAACGTGTGAGTATTGGTTTTCGACGGTTTTAAGAAGTAGTGATTTCCGATACAGTTGACAAAGAACGCCCTGGTCAACGCGAAAAAGTTCGATAGATGAGGAAATTGGAAGTATTACTCGAGAATTCATGTAAACGAAGATGGAACTTACTGAATCGTTGAATGTTGATCGCACAACAGTTTCCAAACGTTTAAATGCACTCAGTAATAATCAAAAGCAAGGAAATTGGGTGCCAACTACGAATTTGAAAGTTCGAGAGAGTTGAACGGCGGTTTTCACGTAACTGCGAACAATTGCTTCAACGGCAAAAAGAAAAGGTTTTTTGCAATCTTATCATCACTGGCGAATGAAAAATGGATATGCTAAAGATAATCCTAAGCATGAAATCGTGGGGTTTGCCCGTTCCATGCATCAAACATCGATGGCAAAGGCCGAGATATTCATGATTCCGAAGCACATGCTCTGTATTTTGGTTGGACCAGCTTGGTGTTGTGTCTATGAGCTGCTTCAAACCGAATGAAACCATCACTGGTGAACGCTACCACACAATTAATGCGTTTTGAGGCCATGCAGCATGTTGAAGGAAAAACGGCCGAATTCGAGCAAAGGCACGATAGAATAATTTTCTCAACATGACAAGGAATCGAACACATGTTGCTCGTGTAGTCAAAAAATACTTAGAACGCTGAAAATGGGATGTTTTATCCCAACCGCCAATATTCACTAGATTATTGCTCCATCTGGATTACTACTTGTCCGATCCATGGAATATGGCCTGGGCTAAAGCAGTACTTCCAATCTACGAAGATACGAAAAAAATTGGATCGATTTTGTGGACTGCAATCAAGATGAATTGTTATTTCTTTCGACGCGGAA